GGGGGGGGGGGGGGGGGGCGGGTCTTTTATTTTTTTCGGCCAGGCTGGGTGTCCGTTGTTTATTGGCATGGTAATTTGTTCGTCGCGTTTTATCGGCAAACTCCCTGAAACCTATTGGGGTGCTGTGTGCGTTCGGGCCTGTGTCGTTTGTACTGACTGTAAAAATGTAAGAAATCTGTTGAATATCCTCCAGTTCGGGCTTGATGTCGATATGTTTGGGCAACTCTAGGAGCCCGGTCTCGTGTGCGGTGTCCGTGTGTAAGTATTTCCTCGCGTTTTCGACACAACCAATGCTCAGTGCATAGACTATCCTTTAACTCTGAGAAGAAACATTTCAATGTGCACATAAATATATGCCGACCGTGCCTGCGTGCGACATCAGATAGCACAACGCTATTAGTGACCAATCTCACTGTTCCTGTAGGTGCCGTGTTACTGTCGCTACTCCGTGCTCCTTACCTTTTGTTCTTAGGGAATCAGGAAAGTTACGCTGTTGTGTGAGGGTCCCGACTCAACAGGCAGGCACAAGCGTTGTGTGTGCGGTGCAACACCAGCAGAAGCCATTCAAGAGTACTCCACCTCTAGTGCGTATTGCAGCACACTTCAAAGTGCTGTATAACCACCACATCAGCAGCTAACATTATCAGTGCTCGGTGTTGCCGGCCCCGTGGCAGGGCATAAGCACGACGCCTGTATGCGAACGCAAGTTTCCAACTTCATCCGTGCCTACCTCTCGACCCTCTGCATTAATCGAGTTGAATTCTCTTGCAATATGCTCTTTGATGCTCAGTTCGTCTTGCTTCAAATTTTCGTGGTGACTGATCTCGTGGTGGGCGCGTTCTCGGGCTTGGTCTTTGCCCCGGGTGCACAGCACGCTGGTTACGCCGCGTATATACGAGTGGCACATTTTATTGGGTAGAGGGCTGCGAGTTACGCCGCCAAGTTTGAAGCCTACAGTGGACGGACATTGGCCAAACTTGGTTCCCTAGATAGCTGCTGGAATAGTCTACTGCTGTGAGCCTTTAGCCTTGGGTGGATGTACGCCTGTCACAATGCTCTTCTGTGTAAACCGATAGTTTTTGTTCCTCCGCCGTTTTCTTTTTTTTTCAGCCGTGCAGCACTAGTCTACTACGCAAAGAGGCAAAGAGATTCACATGAACATCAACATTGGCAGGTTCTTCACTTCCGGTCTGCTGCTCGACAGGGCGAGGGTTCAGCTGGTGTAAGTTGTGGGCGAAGTTCGTCATCGCTCGTCCCTTGGCTGGGGGCAGGGACCCAGCCACTGCTTGCACTTGCGTTTTGGGCCAGCAAGCAGCAGTGTCGCCGTTGTTGGAACAAAAGAAGTTGCGCGATGGTCATTGGATTTGTGTGAAGCAGACCTTTGCAGGGCACCAGCATTGACGACACCAAGCAGAAGGGCGAGACTATTTGGAGCACGTGCGTTTTCTTACGTTACCCATGCTGCTACGTTGCCACGTCCTCTGCAAAACGACGCCAGCTGCATGCACACCAAGCATGCAAGATACCATCCCACACATCATTGACGGGAAATGCGGCGTGTGTGTTCCGCGTGTTCGTAGTTTTTGGCGTGTACACCTGAGGCGCGAACATACACGGTCTGGCTGCTGCTGCTGTTGCTACATACCTACCGTTGAATATTCAATTTCCTCCACCACCAAAAGGTCACCTTTGCCTCCTCCTGTGACACCACGGGCGAGGGCGGAGCAACCGGGTATTGCTCATCTTCTCCGCTGGAAGAGTAGTGGTCGTCCTCGTTGGTTGGCCATGGGACACGCCCAAGCAGCCCAAACAGCGAACTTGATCTCTGGAGTGTGCCCCGCTCAGAGGCACTTCTCTTAAGCCGTGGTCTCTGGTTATTGTTCATGGTGTGGTATCAGTCAGAACGCGCTACAGCAGAGCTGCATATAATAGCAACTCTCCCTGGGGCGTGTCCACCCCCGCTCTTGCGTCTCTCGTGCCACGCGGTCTTCGCTGCCCTATGTGTGCGAGGAGCGGCGGGTCGAGGATCGAACAATCTTCTGCATCTCGAAGCGGTGTACGCGGCGCAACTACGCTTCCCACACGTACCCCAAAAAAGGAAAAAAGGCAACAAGCAAATACCCCGCCCCCCCCCTGCCGGGTCCCCTCAACTCCCCTCATAGTATGTAGTGGGCAAAGGTCCCCCGAAGTACAACCGCCGGTCGGCCCGGTGGTCTAGTGGGTAGCCTCGCAGCCTGTGGTCTAATGGGTAGCCTCGCAGCCTGCTAAGGGCCAGGTCATGGGATCGGGTCCCGACAGAGCGAGCTTCTTCTCGCTTTTTAAATCCTGGTCTCCTTTGGGAGCGACGCACTGCAAAGCTCGTTGTTAGTAAACTTGATCGACTTCAGAAGTCGCGAGGGAAGGGATTGCTGTACCCTTCTCGCGAAAAAAATATCTCAGGCAAGAACCGCAGGACGGGGTCCAACCCCCCCCCCTCCTGTGTGATCCCGGTGGGGTCGTCCAGCTGGTAGAAGTGAAGGATAGGGGCCAGAGGGGCAGACGACAGAGTCCAATGATGGGAGAAAAATAAACAAAAAACAAACTCCTTGCGCCTACATTATTAATGTCATGACTGAATTTGCAGAGCTGCTGACAAATGTTCTGGGATCAGTTGTCCTCCCTGGTTGTTTGCATAGTGGCGTTCACCAATCCGCCTGGATTTTCGTGCTTCAGGGATGGGTAAGAATATCATTCTGTTCGCAATCGTTGCACTCAGGACATGATATGATTTGCACCATGGCTAAAAGTGGTGTGCATTAGGCATTGTTTCGCGCTCGAGAAGAGATTACTTACCCTGATCATAATGCAGACACCACATGGCAAAGAAAGCGCCAAACATGTGGGCAGTGATCGTATTTTCAGGAATGGTCGGACACGCACGCAGCTCGCGGTCTCTGTATTTTTTGTTGTTGTTGGTTGTCTTCGCCTTTCACATCACCGTTCGGATCTCTGCCCCGCGGTACCTTCAAACATCCGTACCCTGGTCCAGCTGACGCGGACCTCTCCTTCCGTAGTCATCACAGGCAAGCTACCCACAAAGGATGTTCTGCAACGCCCAACAACAGATGAACCATCCTCGCTTCATCCACCTTTGCCCTATCTCAACAAACATGATGGCTGCAGATTGATCAATCCCTCTACTTCGAACGCCCTAACGCCCAGCCAACCCAGCCGCTTATCCCTCCCCCGCCGGCGGCAGCACCCTTAGGCTCCTCCTCAACCTCCGGTTCCTTCTCGATCCCCGCTCGCTCGTCGATGTCCGGGAACTCCAGCTCGTCAAAGGCGAGGTCCAGCAGCCGGGGCTTACAGGGCACCAGCTGCAAGGACGGCGGGAAGTCAGCGATACGGTACGTCCTCTTCTTGCTGCCCCTCTCTGCCGTACCACTGCCTCCGCCTACGGGGTCGAACTCTTTCAGCCGTTCCTGCAAAGGTCGACTCGCCCAACGACAAGCCCCGGCATGCACGCCTCCACCGATGGAAATCCCGTTAACGCCGGCAGAGAGCGCGGCCTCTTGCTTCGACTTGAGGAGGAGCGCGTTGGCGGCGGTGCGGTGCCAGGCTCCCTGCACCATCTCGTCCAGCTCGGCGAGGCTCTCCGCACGGGGATCGTCGTCGTCCAGCATCTCGGCCGCTTCTTGGCAGAGGGTGCGGGTGTGCCCGAGCAGGGCTGACGCTTCCGCCCACTGCTTGTCGGAAGAGACAGAAGGCAGCGGGAAGGGGGGGGGGGGGG